TTTTTTTGGGTCCGGACATTTTCTGACCCCCTGGCACCGGTCCGGACTGTCCGGTGTCCGGTAGTGTCCGGTGTCCGGTACTGTCCGGATTACCGGACAGTCCGGACCGGTCCAGACACTGGTCCGGAATATGGTCCGGAAGTGTCCGGTGTCCAGGTCCGCGGTTACCAATTTGGACCATTTCTATTTCTGCATGCCATCCTTGCACAGGGACCGTGCTAATCTTATCTGTGTCGTTCCAATTTTAACAGATCTCCTGAAGGACAGGACAGTTACAGTTCTAACTTCTAACATTTTTAGTTTTTTCAAAGACTGCAACTCCCTCAGATATCATTTGTAAAACACTCCTTTGGCTTCACAATACATTCACTCGTCCTTAGTCACTCATTCACTCACTGTGTTTTTCCTTTGCTGTGGTCACCAATGCTTCGAGGAGCACATTCCATTATGAAGCTAACACCAGTGGGGAATGGCCCTGAGAGTCCCCTTTGCACAGTGTCTAGTTGTGATGGGAGTTTCTGAACTAGGATTCGACCGAGAAGGAAGAGTACCCTTTCCATAAGCTTGTGCAGGAGAGGGTTGTGTGCAGAGGGAATCCCGTACGAGGGACGACGCGCCGAGTTGTACCTGACTGGGGTGGGCTCACACACTCACACAGATATTTCTCAAGCACAGGAATTCACCTCGACGGGAAGGTCTCAACCACGATCGGCGCTACCCAGTATCTGGTAATGAGGTCCACCAGACCCGAACTCAGGCGCGAGATCAGATCCCCAAAGCAACCTGCCCATAGGCAATCGATGCACCATTGTCACCTGTTGTGACAAGGGGTGCCCGATCGCGCCTGCTAGGAGAGTGGTGTGCCCTGACCTCCCTTTCCAACTCCTCCCCAATTGTGTCCATTTCCCCCCCAAACAAATTCCGATGCACACAACCCCTGTGCAAATGGCCATGTTGGTCGATGCCCTCCGGTCCGCGTGCACACATGGGTAGGTCCAAATTGCCACCGTCACGACCCGCGATTCGACCCTGTGACCTCATACCACAATGTGCAGTTTGCACCGGTACCATTGAGCCTCAAACTGTCTGCATCCTGTAACCCTTTCATTCAACCTAATCAGCACACACACCCCCAACAAACTGCACAACAAAGATTCTAGCACACCATCACTTAAGCCATTAGTGCCTCCGAAAGTTGTGGTGGTTAACAGGCCACAACAATGATGAACGAATGGTCCATTACGGGAGCGCCCAAATTCATCCGACTAAAAACGCTTCTACTCTATTTTTTCCCGCTGCCGATATATGGGACACGTACTAGTGGTTTAAAATCCCAATACAACCTTACCCCACAAAATGCCCATCCCTACACCCCCATACTATCATCTTCGGATGTACCTCCATAACCCACATCTTACCCTTGACACACATTGCTATGACCAACATCCCCTTTAGACACACCTATCATACCACCACCATAAACCGTTAATACCACCACCACCACCCCAAATGATACTCTGATCCTTCCAAATGCACCACCCCACCCCTATAAATGAAAATGGACCCAAACCAAAACCCTTAGCCCAGCTGCTATGCTCTTCATCCCATGTATGAGCCTAAAAACAAATAAGACCGAAAATGGCCATAACCGCCCCTCCCTCCACATATCTCAGCCCAAGCATCACCGCAACTCCACCGCTGCCAACGGACCACGGATAACACCCCCAGACACTCCATGCAACCCTCACAAACACAACTATAAGTCCACTACGGTAACCTGCTCCCCCTCCCAGCATGCGTATACTACCACCATCAAAAACCTTTCATATCACCCCCATCCCCACGTAAAATCACGTTCCTTTTCCATATAAACACAACCCCCGCATCCCTTAAATGTAAATGCACCCCCATAAAACCCTTGGTCTATGATCCATCTACTATACCGGCCTGTGAAGCAACACTACATCCTGAACCGCTCATACATGGCAACAAAAACCAAAGACCAAAATACAAAATAGGCCCAAAAGGGCCAAAACACGCCCTGCACCCACAAAAACAGGTCGTAACCACCAATGCAACCTCGTCCCAC